ATCTCTAAACGGAAGTAGAATAGTTGCTATTACTAAGATAGGATTATCAAAGATGGATTTAAAATGCACTATTCCCTAACATCGTGATAGTCAAAAAGCCAAAGTAAATGTCAAAAAGTGGATCCTCCACCATTCAGATAATGCCACAAGTGAACGTTCTTTCCGACACAGACATTCATCGAAACTGGGGTTCAATTTTCGTCAGTGCTCCTTTTGTCAGGTTGCACCTGGGGGCGACTCTTCCATTTGGTACATTGCGTCGAGTTGCTAGCATTCAAATGCTGACATTTTTGCCAGGTAAATACTTAAGCGACGAAGCCATTCGCCCCCAAATCCATTCACGGAAGCGCTGTTGATATTTAACAGCGCACCGCTGCATATCCACATTCTGGTCTAAAACGAAATCGATACATGACAATGTATGACGAGAGTGAAGCTCAGTATGGTTAATTTAATCATTTTATAAGCGATCAATATCTTGTTCGCATAAAACATTTAATGTACTTATACTAATAGTTTATACCTACTAATATTGAACGCTGAAAAGGGAGCGCAAATGCTAGAATATTTTATATACTCTTTCAATCACTAGCCTTTGAGTACGTGTCTGCGAACGCTCGTAGCCTTTAGCTTCAACAAGATGTTCTAAAATATATCGATGCAGACTAAAATAGCCAGAAAGAAAAAGATAAACAATCAGCTTTTCTCCACACTGACTGAGAGATATTGATTCCTTCTGCGCCACACCTCACATCGTGTACGGCATCTGTGTAATTTGAAGCTAGATTCCAGATTGATATTATGCCAGCGATTTTCTTTCATGATATCTGAATAATTATTTGAAATAATTTCCGAGAATAATTCTCGAATTTCCAGGTCAGTCTACACGTTCATAAATATCCTGCTGCTCTACAGAAATATTTGCTCTAAGAACTGGACCAACTTTACTGTTTATTCCAATCATTTTGTCTATAATCTAGCCGGCAAATATTTCTTCACTGTGCGTGTCTTGAGTGCCGCAGCTCTGCTCCTCAGAAACAAAATTCGCTCGCAAGTGTTACCCCAACAAACTCTCTAATTCTTGGAGGTTTCTTTTTATTTCCCTGACAGTAAACCCCCATGATGCATTTAAATTACCGTAGAGGAAAATTAAAACGATGACTGCCTTAATTTATTGTTTTCTCTCAACCCTCAAAATTCAAGTTGCTCTGGAAAAAAAAGAGTCCAGTAAAAACGCTCAGTAACCCTTGAATGCGAAGACAGCCACTTTTATATTGAAACTCTTTAAGCAGTTTAAGGATTATGATGGATGTGTTCCGGGTAAATAATATTATCTATTTAGTTGCTATACAGCTAAAAAAATTCCGTTTGGCCGGCCCAAGATTGAACAAGTTCACTTTTTACTATTTAGGTAAGTACTAATATTTTAGAAAATAAATTAGACTGAGAATTCGACTTTGTTGTTGATAAATGTGACTTAATTACAATTTCATTCATCTAATCTGAAGCACAATACGTCATTAACATGTTTGCAAAATGCCAAATTTTCATTTCAGCACTGGTACCTCGCTCAGGATACCATCCGTTCAACAATACCTGCTCATCAGGACGTTTGGTATGTAAATGAAGTTTTTTATCATTCCATTCTATTGGTATCGTATTTATCCTTCTGCCACGTTGGGAACACAGCTCACCCCAAAAATTAGATTCTAAGCGTAATGATTTAGTTTAAATTAGCTTTCTTTCGAGAGGTTATATGAATCAAACTTTTAATTTAATTCACTTCTAGAGTGAATTAAAACTTGATAATATAATCAATTGAAGGGCTCGGAATCAGCCACTAATTTCAAAAGTTTTTAATCATTATGCATTATTTTTTCAGCAATGTTGATATAATAATTGTTTATTTATGGCGTTTGTTTCGATAATTTAGCCTGTGCACATGTTTTTTCTTCCATTTTGCTTCAGATTTTTTCTTCACTGCTTACGTCGTCGGCATTCGCGTTAACAAGACGATGTAGAGACACTTGCAGGCCTCCATTTCCTAGATCTACGATGAAATTATTTTCGGGCAAATTTTTTTACTCAATTATTTTTACTCATCATTGTTTCTCATTGTTTTTTCTTCGCAGAATATCTTACGCTTAATTCTATATTTTCAGATATGTTGCCTGTACATGTCATTTTAGTTTTTTTATCAAAGTCCTGTTTTTTCCTTCCTGTTAAATTCTTTTATCAAAGTTTTGCTAGCGAGCTCCACACTTCTTCCATCAGGAAAAAGTTACCTATACCACGGCATCGATAATTCGGATTTCATTTCTCCCAGAAATGCTGTAATGGATTAATTATCTTTATTCCATTGCTAAGAGGCATTAGCTTTTGAATTTGATTGCAAATTCAATTTTCTCGCCTAGCGGCTGCGTGGCCTTTGATTCAATACTGAAAGTCATACGCCTCATTGCGCGGAACTTTAATTAAAAATATTTCCCGAATGCTCGTGTCAACGACCCTGTGTGTGCTCGCAATGGCTGCTATTAGTGTTACCTGTTTTTTGTTTGTGAGCAGCAACTTTACAATTTGCATATTCAACAAAGAGGAAACCTTTTTTAACTATTGTTCTGCGTTTAGATGGGGTTAGATTAGATAACAGAAATAGCTTACAATTTTGTAAGGGAACAAAAGAAATGATGCTTAGAATCGGGTGTAGGGCATCAGAAATCATCGCCAAGCAAAGCATTAAAAAAATGTAGCCTGCAATCCTACTGCTCTTCTAATCGAGTGACAAGATGTCATTTATTATTCCACCGAGTCTTGAAATTGATAGAATTAACCAGGATACAAAGTTGAGGTAACTAAAAAGGTTTAAATTTGATTTAATGACATTCGTCCTGTACTGGCAGTGTCATCAAAACGCTGAACATCCGCACGAATATCGTTCTACTAAAGGCTGCTCCCGCGAACATTGCGATATGAACAGACAGAGCGTCGCACTGACAGCCCTCGCAGTGGACACCGAATAGTTAAATACGATGAGTTAAGAGTCTATAGAATTTTGGTGCGAATTGCATGTGCATATACAAAGAGCTTTCTTCCTCGACATGGATGCTTGAATTAATAACGCATGACATGATTAAATTGCATAAATTTGAATATCAATAGAGCCGATAGCTTATTGAGTGATTTACTTCATTATTTACAGAGTGAACCTCCATCACGATTTTAACAGCACCCTGATACTTTCTTATAATGATCTCAAAAGTTTATAAAAAGTTTACTGAATTGTTCTCCAGCTGTTCTCGCTAAGGACTGAGGTATTTACTGTGTGGCTTTTAATTAGCAAATGCGAGTCGCCCGCCAACACAAGTTACCGGAAAAACGAAGCCTTTTACGAACTTTTCAGGATGAGCGCCGCGGCATCGAAGTTAGTGTTGACTTGTGGTTTTGTTTTGCGCTCAGAACTCAAATGCTGCTTTTTTGTTTGTGACTCTTGATTTAGATTTTTCAATTAAACTTTTAATCCAATTAAGCAATTTTTGGCTCAGTTTTTTGCACAAACCATTCACAACTTCTAAAGTTCCTTTCCATTATATGTATTTAGATATAATGTATGGAGTAAATTTGTTGGTATAGTAAGCTGATAATAGTTATTGCCATTTATTGTAATTTTTTCCCTTTCGTTTTCTCCAAAGTTTGCGATCTGGTATCTCGCATCCCGATACGGATAAGGAGATGTCCGAAATATATGTTGAACGCTTGTCCCCAAACCCAAGGCGGAGTGTTGACATTTGATAAATAATTTTGAAGACGTTGAAAGAAAGAAAGAAAATTGCTTTAGGGTAATGTTTTACAATTTTTTGTCTGTGTAAAGTATATGTAAGAAATTATTCATCACCACATGCAATTATTATTTTGGCACAATTATTTAGGCAAAGTTATTAATTCATTGGACTTCAATTTTGTCACAAATTTTTCATGAAATTGTGTGGCCTTGATATCATTTACTGCACGATAGTTGCTACTTTTTTATTGCTGGCTGTAATTGATAAAAAATTAGACCTACACAAATGGTCTTTCCATGGGGACTGTTAAGCAAATCTAACTATGATTTATCTAATGTCAAAAACTGAAACGACACGACGGCTCCCAAAGAATCCTGTTTCGCCTATTAAACGCATTTTACTGGACTTCCAACTACGTATAAAAGAATATGCCAGACTGCGGAGTTTTCCTCACTTTAAAATGATGTATTCGCTACAAAAAATATAATCACGTTAACTTTTCTGGATCACTCAACTGTGTTGTGTCTAGTAAGATTAGAGGCCAATAAATATGTAATCGATTGCCGCATCAAGTAATAACAGTTCGTAAACATTCTATGTATTGAGTGAATGTAAGTTATGAAAGCATTGAGTTCATGGACAGAATAATTCCTTAGTGTGGAATAGGTAATCTTCAGCTCTCAACAAAATTTCATTTCTCGTCGATGAAATATGAATATATGATTCATGTGCTCAAGCGAGCGACGCGAACTTCAGCTCAGTTCGCGTTCGCAATTGAATTAGAAATAAGTTTTATCGTAATGCTCTAATATTGAAACTCGCAACAGAACCGATGTATGCGCGGCGAAAATGACCTTAGTTAAGGAAATTACACAACGCAGTGAACAGGAGGAAAGCGCTCAACATGAGGGATATCATTTGACGGAGGATGTGAGAGACGCGGAAACTTATTTGATTTCAGAAAATTTTCGAATAATGAGACATCACATCTAGCGTTTATATTCAACAAAGAAAATTATTTAATAAATAATCATAAAGATAACCATCTTGGCGTTAATATTAGTAAAATAAAATGTTCTTATTGAGCCGAAACATGACAATTAAATAAGCCGAAATAATTAGTGTATTCGTTCAAAATTAAGTTAAAAATTAACTTTTCCGTGGAATTTTAAGACAGATCATTCAATATTTTAGAGAAAAGGGTAATAGAACAAGGCATTATATGTACTAATATCTAATTTTACAACTTGTTTCTGCGTGATGCATGGAAGTCATATATAATAATATGTTCTAGATCTCGCCACAATTATCTACAGTACTCGCGAACACTCTCACAGCTTAAAATTATAAGACAACTTTAACGAAGAAAAAATATGCAAAGACGAGCTCTATTTTCGTTCTGCGTGTCTTCAAGGACAACTGAAGCAATAAATATGGTAATAAAGTATTTTGTCCGAAGTTTCTCTGATATTTGAAACGGCAGTCGCGCAATATATTTCAAGAGATTTTTTTCGATTAAAATAATTGGGCGAAATTGCGCTCAAATGAGCTGAGATGTAATTTTCAAAGACCGATCCTTGATATAAGGAACTATACAAGGCTTATATTACATAGGATATAAGAACGATGTTTTTACTTTTACATTTTGGTAGAGATTCTGAATAAGATGATACGAGATTTACATCCTACGACAAATTACGGAAGCTGTCGTAAGGCCACCATGTAAAAATGTAATAATAAAAGAATAAGAAGAATTAATGATAATAAAATAACAATAAATATACATGATTTATGAGCACATTTTCTTCCTCGTTAATTGTTTAAATCTGTGCATTAACTGGCATTATATAGCAGTTAAAATATTTGCCGAAACACATTTGAAGAAAAAAATCGAAATATTGTTGAAAACTATTTAAATAAAATCGTGCAGAAAAAATTATTAACTAACCTGCCGTATCAAACTTTCAATACTTCCTACGGAGTGTAATTCTACAATGGAATTTACGTAGATCCCGCTATTCTCAGGACCATGATTGCAAAGGTTCTAAATGCCTGCCGTATAATTAGAACTCAATCCGGGAGACATGGTTGTACGGTGCAAATAGCGAAAAGGGCGTTGCTCAGAAAAGCGATTTAATTAGTGAAGAACTCAAGTTCTTTCCTCTCCAATCAAGACACTTGACGGATTAAGTTCCAGCTGCAGATTTGCTGAATTTGGCAAACCATAAATTACTTTGTCCGATTTCTGGTCGGCCGATCGAGAAGAACTTCGCACCTGGTGGGAGTATTGCCCGCTTAACGTGTTTTGAAAGTTGAAATTTCAATCAATTCTTGAATCAGTGATTTAACAGTGATTGGCGCACACTTTTAATACAAATGATTAATTGGTACAGAAAGTACGTTGCTGTAACAACCCGTAGATTGTGAGAAGGAATGCTCGCTTTGATCGTACATAATAAATAATTCATTTCGCACATTACAGAAAATTTATTATATGTATATTTAACCAAATAAACCGTCATGGAAGGCGATGGAAGGAATGCTGCGCACCAACAAATTTGAAATCCTATTATTATACACATGCGACTTAAGATGAAAGGTTTATGACACGGGTGAGTTTCTATCGGCAAGCTTACTGCTACTGGCCTTTTAAGCAAGGAGAAATTAAGTCAGTTTTCCTTGCTTTGATGTAGGCGTTTATTGCAATATGGTTGGATTAGGAACAGAATTCATGTTAGCAAAAATTCTACGACGATTTTTGAACTTCAAAATAAATTTTTACTTCGTCTGAATGGCGCGAAATCCCACAATTTTTTGGCACTCACAGGTACTAATCATAATTCATTCCTGTGTTGACACGGTGCATGCATTGCTGCTGAGTGCTTCAAGTAAAGCCGTTATCATAATACCAGTTAACTGCCCGCGTCTAGGCCACGGAGCGTCCATCAGAGTGAGGGTTTCATCGTCAGAGTTCAGTGCCGAGCCACGAGACGACCTCGAGGTGCACCCTCTGGCCCGCCTGCTTCAGCAGCCCTACGGCCGTCGCGTGCGAGACGTTCTCCAGCGAGTAATTGTCAACGGCCAAAATACGGTCACCGCAGCGCAGCTTGCCGTCCACGGCCGCTGGCGACGATGCTACCACCAGTAACACGTGGATCGGTTCTGATCCTCTGTTTGGATCTGATCCTCCTACGATGCTGAAACCCAGTGACGATCCCGGCGATCTTTGGAGGACGACACTGCGCGAGATCTGCAAGGGACGAGGCAGCTTCTGCCAGTACAGCCACGACGGCACGAAATTCGCTGTGTTACCGGCGCTGCAAGTTTCAGGGCCTTCAAGTAGGAGTAAAGTCACGGAGTTCAAGGAGGCCGTGGCTTTGAGCTGAGCTACCGCTTGACTGTGTGTTAAGCCCAGTAGACTCAGACCGTTCACCGCCAGCAATACGTCGCCTTTCTGAAATTAAATAAATAGGAAATTCACAGCGTAAATACGACAAATAAAAACAATAACTCTTAGACATTGAATTTGGTGATCAGTGAAATTAATCAAATTAATGACTAGCATCGGTGTTAAATTATGTTTTGTGGAATACGTGAAGAAGCTGGATAAAACGCGTGTGAAAATGTTACCTTCACTTTATTAGAGCGTCCGGCAGATCCATTGTTATTAATATTCGCAATATAAATAGGTGTGTCTCCTTCATTGCTTGAAACTCCGCCACCAATCCGCATGCCGAGACTTTCGTTGCACGCCTGCAGGCACCACAAGACATGTCATTACATTGGTGACTCGGGTCAACTTTATTTAGCCACGACATACCGGAGCTTAAAAATGCAGCACAGCTTTTTCGGAGTTAGGAATTTGTTTATACAATTATATCAATCTTTATCAACTATTATAATCATCTATTAGGCATAAAAAGAAGTAATTTTTAAAACTTTTTGCAAAGCTTGAGCAGTGTGTTCTAAAATGTTTATTCACCTCAAAAACGATCAACTCTTTCTAAATAATTATCTTAATAGGAAGCCGTTTAAAAACATTCGAAAATATCTGAGACAATGCTTACATTAAATTTTTAATTAACGTGACTAAATGTTTTTAATAACCACAATTTTAAAGTCATTTTGTACGCACTTCAATATTTTGTGGTACGACAGTAAATTATTAGAATCGACGCTGATATGGCTCATGAGACATATTTATAATGTCTGTAAACTCAGAAACGTTTCAAACGATTAATAACGATGGTCTAAAGCAACAATAGAAACTTTTTATCCCAGTATCAATATTTCAAGCCACGCCCAAGATTATTACTTCGAGGTTTAAAAGGCTTTCTGTGAACAATCCTATGAGTACATTAGCCCTCATCTGATGCTGGAACAACGCACTCGTCTGAGCTTCAGTAGCCAAATTGCATCCAAGGATCATTAGAAACCGAAAGCCTTAATTTAAAAATCCCCAAGAAAACAGTTTTTGAGAAAGTTCTAATAGAAATCTAAATTACAACTATCCAATTTCTAATAAAGACTTCGATACCTTTTTAATGACGGCCGTTTTTTGCGTGAGCGTGGGTTTTTGCGGCAGCGGCGGCCATCTGTGGTCGAGCCCATTATCGCAGATCCCTCTATCGCTATTCTCTAGAGCAGCCTGCCAAGTGTTATTTGGATCCTCAGGATGACTTGGACACGTTACAGCATCTTCCATAGACTGAGGAGCAGAAACAAAATGGTGGTGGCTGTCAGAATCATCGGTGTCTGTTGTGGCTGAGGATGACACGTCGCTCTGGGGGTACGCCGTTAACGGGGGCGAAGGGTGCGCTGGGGCACGACTAGAATTAAAAGAATTGGAATCACCGACCGGAGAACTGGATGAGAACTGGTCAGATAGCGGCGATGCTGGTGGCATTGCAGAAGATGATACGGAAGAGACGGAGGAAGAAGGCATGAAGATCCTAGGAGACGAAGCGCTGGACGACTGATCACTGAAAGACTCGCTGGTATTCGAACATAAACTTGCTCTGTCACCCGCAGGCGTTGTTTTGTCATTACTTAAGGTTTTATCGTTGTTGTTGTCACTAAGCTTATCATTAATATGATTGTGATTACTGCTGGTGACGCTTAGAGTGACTGAAGATCTGCATCGCTCTATCAACCTCGACGCCATGTCTATCCTAGTGAAGCGGACATCATGGCCATTGATGGCTATAATTCTATCGTGGATGTGCAGCCTTCCGTCCAAAGCAGCAACAGACCCTGGCATTATTTTGTACACGAATATGCCAGGCTTGGTTCTGTGGCCGCCCAGTTGTATGCCAAGGGAACGGCCTTCTTCCCGCCACAGCGTCACGCTGGTGTAGTCATCTGCGCCATACAAATTCCTGTACATTATTTAACGGCCAAAGAGAAGCATTTAATTGCACACAAGAATACACTAATAATTAAAGATTGCAAAGAAACAAAGTTTAATCGACGAGTTAACAATCAATATCAGAAAATAAAATCGACGAAGAATTTAAGGATCTATCTTGATCGAGATATATGTCTTTATACCATATTCGATTCGACGAATCTCAATAATTTCAGCCCCGCAAAGTCATAGAAAAATTAGTTGAATACGGGCACCATAATTCACAGAAAATCACAAGTCATTGAGAGCAGAGAATGTACCGATTACCAGCGCTTAAACATACCGTAATCCAGTTGAATTACCGAGCAATATCAGTTAAACAGAATTTTATCCAGAGAATTTATCGAGCAACAGCAATCAAATATAACGTTATCCCGTTATCCAGAGAATACATCAAGTAACATCACTTCAACAGACCGTTATCCAGAAGATGCTCCCAATAGCAGCACTTCAACTAACCGTTATTCAGAAAATGTCCCCAATAACAGCACTCGCACACACCGTTCTCCAGAGAATGCAGAGGCTGATGCGCCGAGGGAGGAGACCGGTACGCCTGTATCCTCTCCCTGTATACGCCGAGCCTGAGCGTGGGCTGCGTGAACTTCTTGAGCTCCTGACAGACGAGCGCGTGCGTAGCCGACGTCATATCCACGCCGTCAACTTCGATGATCTGATCGCCTGACTGCAGGCGACCGTCTTGTGCGATCAGCCCGTCAGGGAAGACTTCTTGCACCACCACGCACCGCTGGTAGCAATAGCATTAGGGTGGTGGTGAATGATTGCAAAAATATCCCGAGTATGATTAATGAAATACGATAATAACAAAAATAGCGACCTTCTTAGAAGACTTCTTGCACTACCACGCACCGCTGGTAGCAATAGCATTAGGGTGGTGGTTATTGATTGCAAAGAAATACTGCGCGTGATTATTAATATACGATATTAATAAAGATCCTAGATGCAAAGACTTCTTGCATCACAACGCACCGCTGGTAGCAAAAGCATGGGGCTGAAGCGAACATCTATTGAATATTGGTAACTCAACGTTGTTTAAAGTCGTTTCGGCTTAAATAAAAATTATTAAAAATGTATTCCAGAATTTTCTTGCAAATAATACTGAATAACTAAAACCACATCCTTGTTTATATATATTAAAAGGCTTAAAAATATTATAATAACTTATAACTTTTGGTAGCATTCATTGAAAATTCTACATAAAAACCAAAACACAAGCCAACACTGATTTAATTATTCTACAGCCTAAGGGTACGCACACAGTGAACGCAGGTTTGCCCGCGCGGGCAACCTGCTCCAACCTGCCATAAGAATGAACATAGGATAATAATGTAAGTGTTCACAGTGAAAACCTGTACGAATAGGCTTCTGTATTCTATGGTTTCAGGCGCCAGCCTGAGCAGGTAACCAGCACGTTGGCAACCTGCTTTCACTGTGTGCGTACCCATAGTCATTTTAGATGGTAAGTTCAAAATAAAAGAAGAGTCAATATATACTTGAACTTTACTGAAACTGAAGGAATGTGAACGTTTCTATCCCTAAAAAAGAACATCATTCGTAGTCATACACTGACCAGAGGGGTGTCAGCGCCCCCCACGATAGTGATGCCCAGGGGTGCCCCTTTAGGTCTGGGTATCTCCACATGCGAGATCTCGCCCTCGAGGATGGGAAGTCGAGTGATGCCTGCAGAGGGAAAATAAGCTCAAAGTTGATACCCTTTCACAGCTTATATTATAAAGGAGCTAATATAATTATTACAGTTACGTGAATTGTTCAGTGTTAACCCTCTTGAGCAATTAAGCTCACTTCTCAAAAATTATGGTAAATCAGGTAAATCGTTAGAAAAGAACTGAAAATTCGTCTTGAAAATTAATTAGTTTAAAAATATCGAAATAAAAAATTCTAGGATGCCTTTCGTTTCTCAGCTTTTTGGTAACACGATTTCTTTTTGGCATAAGGAATTCATGGCTTCAAAACGTAATAATGGTGAAAATCCATATCACACAACCGAAAAAAACTCTATCCCTCGCAGGAATAAAAGAAGTTTTTCATGCGAGGAACATAAGTTAGGAGAGATAAGAAAAATAATTTTATCAACTCAGGATTAAATTGCCAACGCTTCCGAGAAAAAAAAACCCTTAGAACATTCGCAAGCAGTCATCGAAACTGATAAATACTCTTGCAGTTACTAAAACTGCGCAAGGAAAAGGTGGAAAATACGTCAGAGGTAGTTTAAAAGTTCAACATTATGTATTGATATGTATTATATGAATACTAAATCTTCTCGAAATACTACATTATCTCGAAATTATTCTAAAATAATTTCGAGCTAATGTAAATCTAAACCGTTCCAAATGCCCTGCGAAGTTCTAAACCCGCCCCAACTGATGGGATTCCTCTCAAATTCTTAACGTATCACTGACGCTCAAACGCGACCTGAAGTCCACGCGGTTAGACAGCTTCATCAGGCCACCCAACGAAGGACGAACTCGAGATTGACGTTATTTTCCAGGGCAAATATTGACCACAATTTGATCTGAGGTCATCCTTAGACCGCTCAAATTTCGATGTTTACCGAACCAACATTTACTGCTGGATTAAGTTTATGGCGATGGACATTGAAGCGAGTACTTGATGTTCCACGCGATGAATGCAATCAAAATATAACGAAAGCAAGGCAATATTTGCTAGCGAGACTGACGTAAACCGAAACCACTCGCAGTCATCGGTAGGCAGATTAAGTAAACTTGAATAAAGAACTAAGTATAATTATTTTGATCAATCTTTTATTGCTGTTAAGAATTTATTGCTGTCTTCGGATTCGCGGTTAAAATCGCTGAAAATTCGCTGAAATCGCTGAAAAATTATTCTCAAAGTTAGCAAAAACACTATTATAATAAATATTATATATAACACTATAAACAATGTATAAAATAACACTACACATTTTCTTGGATATAATTCATCTAACTAGTGACTTTTCATCATAGGAGAAATCTCAAGTAATTCAACGAAAACATCAGGCTGTTTTGCAGCGTTAATGACAATTTTCCAGGCGAGGAACTTCTCTCGGGAACTCAAGACTTTGCTCGGCATTATCAGCGATTTCCCTGGAGCGGCGCTTAATGCCTCGCTAGTGGAGCTGTTGCAGAATTCATCGCCCTTCTTCTTAGGCGGTGACGCGAACGTCTGGATGCGCACGCTTGCTTCTTTAGTCGAGAACTTACACGGAGAAAATAACGAATATCTTGTGAATAGTGAATAAAGTGGATTAATTATGGATGGCCTGATCAGGACACGTGAATAATTTGACTTCTGCGATTAGAATATTTTATGTGACATAAGCTCATAAATGAATGTCGTGAGTGTTTCTGGAGATAAAAGTACCCAACGAAATCTTATATGGAGATACCTAACGAATTCTTATATAATAACATGTCTTCAATGTTGGATTGTTCAAGGAGCAACACGAAGGATCCAAGCCCCTGAAGTCTTCAATAAACTATTTAGACCATTTGATGGATTAACGTCAGCCTTTCATTCCCATTTAGATGCGGAAAACCATATGTAAATACATTCTACCAGGCATCAAAATTTCAACAATGCGCTCTAGGCCATCAGTCAACCCAATTCTCTTTTTTATTTGCGCAGCGAGACACTTCAGGCAGCCCTCCTCATAATATAAACTCTTTGCTATGTTAGATAATATTACTCCTTACTTAAAGTTCGCATAATTTAATTTTGCAATATCTTGAAGCGAGACACTCGTGACGGCCTCATTCAATGATCGCAAGTGCCATCCCTCTCACTCCGTCCACTTCACGCGAGCCGCTAACATGTGGCGCCAGACAATTTTTCAGACGTTGGTACCTCCATAACGTCAACGCTGTTAAAATGCTGAGCTCCAACGACAGTAACGCTGCCGCTGCACTCAAATTATCCTAACTCCACCGCTGCAATCGCTGTACTGTAACGGCCGCCACGTTACCATGGTAAGCGATGCAATGTAACGGCCGTAACACTGCTACCGCATTTTATGTTTGCTCGATCCATTAATTATTAACAATAATAACTCTTGCTATGCCTCCCAGTCAGTTTTGCCGGCCGTTCTACGGATCAACATCTGAATTGCAAGTCAAATTAAAAAGATATAACTTCCTCTTTGTTCAATGTTCATAGCTGGCACTGATGGATGTTATTTGAATTAATGATGGTGATACTCACTTTTAAACTCACGAGCTGGTATTGCACGAAGGGTTTGAATCATTGAGCAGGATGAGCACTCACTGCAAATTATTTTTTACATTTTTTATTATGTGGCGTTGTCTTGCATTCTTAAGAGGCATGCTTGATTAGATCTTTGTATCCTTTAGACATTTATTTTGTATTAAATGTTCTTTTTTCGCACAATGGATCAAGTAGAATTGAGGTAGTGTAAAGTCATTAATCACGGTCATTCTGAGACTCAGTACAATAGACATCAAAACTAACTACATTATTTTGAGTGCTACTTGTACTTCAATGGCCTTTGTGTAGACTGTAGAACAATCTTCAAATGAATATAACTTCTGCTGGAAAATACTCTTCTAACGAAACAATATTGGCCATTGCTCCTTTACAATCTGGGGCGGGCTGATCAGGGCTTGAGGTTACTGAATATAAAGTTACAAAGTGCTACTCAAAATATTTTAAGTAATTACCTTGGTTTATGTCGGTATGTAATTATCCGACTTGGTTTATGTCGGAATTAAATATCAGTTTCGCAAATTCTCGCTTGTTATTGTTACGCCTGTTTCTTCTTCGCATAACAGAAGTGATTAAATAAACTAATATGTAACAAATACTAACAATAGGCCAAACATAATCGCGTCCTGAGAACAGACACCCCCATTGCCGATGCTACATGGGGTGTTGATTAAAAACTATAATCAACACCCCATATAAAATATAATCAAAACTTGAGTTTTGGATTAGCCACAAAGGATTAGCCACTCTTTCCCAACAAAAATTCGACGTTGAAATAACGTTGATTAAACATTGTTTCAACGAAATCAACTTTTTTTCAAACTCGTTTCGACGTAGTTCGCCTGGAGGTTTGATATGTTTGTGTTGACAGCGCCATGACAACACCGACGCTCGAACCTCTGTCAGTTTCCTGGAAGAACGGGGCGGTGCCCCCTATGTAACGCTGGACACTGCGATGAAATGAACGGGCATGCTGTCCAAATAGTGACATATACTTTCTGTACGTACAACATATACGACCTTTAGCCTGGGAGAAACAGGGTTAGGGTGACCCACACAAGGTTAAATGTGCGTCGTGATGGGGACTAGGACTCGCAAATTTCTTTGAATGAAGGTTTGATTGAGTATCTTCTGTTGCCTCCGGGCTCTGCGATGTTGACTGGTAGGGCTTGAGTAAAATCATCATCTTATTGAATTTAAGTAAATAAGAGTAGTGTTTAGTGCCTAGAATAAAGAAACAGACATTCTAAATAAAAAATTTAATTGCAAATGAAAGCAGGAAAATGTTAGTTGATCATATCTTTAAAGAAAACATTCCAGATACCAGCTCCATCATCAGTTAGAAATAAGCTCGAGAGAAATTCATACCATTATATTAAGGCATCAAGCATCGACCAGCCAAGCAATATACTAGCTTAGATATCCCTGTCAATATTGTACGTAAAACAATAATTCGTTGAGCTCACGGCTGCGGCGTTACTGAGAAGGCGGCCTTTGGTCCAGGCTTCTGTGAAGCGTGAGTGTGCCGACCAGACCAGCTGGATCGATGGCTATTAGGCCGTCCACACGTTATTCTTACCAGCTAGTGTCAACGATTTAAAAATAATTATTCTGTCCATGATTGAACGTAAATACTCTTTCGACTTAACAGAATGAACAGATATCATTGAATGATTTTATGTTCGAGATAGAGGCAAATGTTTTCTGCCAATTACCCGTTTGAAATTATGTGATTTTTAATTGTGAGATTGAACAATTTAATATCTACGTGTTTCTGACGGTCGATAATTTTTTAACCTATATTTATCTATCGACCAAAATAATTTAATATAAAATGTTACCTGAATTCAGTAACTTAAATTAACGGGCATTCATTATTCCCGTTGATTAATTTTCTGCAGAATTTGCACTTATTGGGCGTTGTGCATGAAATTTCAAAATAATCCGTGTAATAATATTCCAGGATGTCCTACAAATATCGTCCTTATGATTGATATAACAGATTTTTTCGAATATTTCGTAAGAGCATTTCAATCACACTTCAATCCTATGTTTACATGAACCTGATTTCTCGTGTCAAGTTAATCGTAATAATTTTAATCCTAATCAGCTAATCATTTTTTTCATAAGATTATAAATGCTACATTTTCCCCTTGTTCTATGAGAGACCATGCTGCTCGTTACGTGTACAATAACTCGCTGCCGAATGGTGTAGGCAATGGTCCGCGCTTTTCTTAATGAGACGCGTTTTTTTAATGAGACTAAGAGATCTGGAGGGGACAAACGGTTGAGTCCGTCACGCAATGCATTGGTGAATTCAGCCTTTGTTACAATATTATGCGTGTACATGTAAAGCGTTTATGTTTGAGCAACACTTTACCAAATTGAATGGCGTGGAGGGAGTGGAGCATTTGTGCGTCCACGCCCTCCATTACAGCTCACGGAAGAGGCACACATTTGCACGCAGCTCTGCACACGCAAAACATTTGTGCACGAAAACTCTATCAAGGGAATTTTCTTAACTCTATCAATGATGAATCAGCTCTGCACACGCAAAACATTTGTGCACAAAAACTCTATCAAGGGAGTTTTCTGAACTCTATCAATGATCTTTTTCCATGCGGGTTTACAACGTTATAAAATTTTCAAATAATTACGTTCCTGGCAATATCGGTTATTCGGCGAGAAAGTTGCACATTGAATTACTTGCACTTAACCCTCTACCGCCTGACATGAATAACCGGAGCAATATTGTCACAAGCCCACTTCCCAGAAAGGACACGTTCTAGTGGGCGCAAAATGACTTGCACTGATGGTTGCTGCCACGTACGACAACTTTAAAATGTTCTCTGTTGCTTACAAACGTCCTCAGGCTACACTCAATAGTTTACGTATAATTTAATTTGGAAGTTATGTTCCCGGAGAGTGACATACGGCGGTAGAGGGTTGAGAGGCATGAATTAATTTGGAAGTTTCAATTCAACAATTCGTGTGATGATACCGCTAGGAACAAAATCAATGGACATCAAGCTCTTGAGTTAACTTAACACAAAGAGCATTAATTTAATTATTTTAGTTAGCGGCAAGTCATTGCTAAATAACTGGGATTATACAATAGATTCGCGAAGACATAATCCCTATAGTATGTCATGAGGGATCGTCTCGAATATGTTAAAGCTTTGCATAAGTTATTTGCGGGGAAAGGCATTGGTCGTATGAACAGGTAAAGATAAGAAGCGGTAGCGAAAGTTTATGCCACGGATTGCGATGTCAATCATACAGTGTACTAAAATAAACTTATCCCCTGTATTGTGAGGTCGGAGAAGCCCGCCTCCGTTATTAACATCCGAGGAAAAATATAGGTCGCCATCAATACCAAGACGCTTTCATCAATTCATTTATTTCATTGCCTCAACACCATTTTAGTTGAGCATGCAAAATTTGGTTTCATACGATTCACTGATTCATTTTGAAATGCTATAGCAAATTAAAAAAAAATTTTTACATCACATATTTTATGGTCTCACGTTTAGTTTAGACAAAGCAAATAATAGTGACCGATCACTCAAGATGTGTCATGACTCAATCCATCAAGCCACCATTGAACAGCTGAGGCCGTACTATCAAAGGTCCATAAGTACACGTTGCGGCCTAAATAGACGAAAACTCCAGAAAAGCCGTCAATGATTGGCTGGCGGACAACTGCACCCACCAGCCTGGGGCCATACTTTCAAAACTCGCTGAGTGAACGTAAATACTTACGACCTATTTTCTTGTCAATGATTGGTGGATTTTGCTTGAAAGGCCGTCAATTATTGGCTGATAAACTTACGATCTCCTAAATTTTTTGAAAGTATGGCCCCTGATCTCTGCCAGAACTAATTTTTATAGCACGGCACCAGGAAGGTTAACACTTGCCAGCAGTTCAGCAGTCGTAGTGGCTTAAAGATCAAAAAGAGCTTCATCGACCGCATGCACAGAAGCGGTATGTGTGATCTCCCTCTGAGTGATCAACGAAATGCACGCGTGTCACGCTACACCTTTGCCGCCTAGCAGCGATCTCTGGTTGCATTGCATGCTCGCCGTGAATAATTCACACGATTTCTAGACGCCATATTGCGTGACCACTGTGACCATCTTGAAACGAACTATGGATCGCCTTGAAAACTGGCTTTCCATTCCTAAACGATCCCGGGGTTGTTGTTACTGACGATTTGGCAATTTTGATGATAAGATTATTTAAATCGTACCATGGTCCGGGGACAGCATAGACGATCTAAATCGTAGAAGGGCCTCTGGGTCGTAGTGCGCGGGTGCAATGACTGTCGCTGACTAATCTCAGTCACTGCACTCAATCTGTCGCGTTTGATATATTTTCCGAATTACTGCAAGCTTATGTAGCTTAAGCAATGATGCAACCAAAAAGTGCCAAAAGTGCCAAACTATTTATTAGTCAGAATCTGATATTCTTTTACAGTCATTATTGTTAATATTTGCATGATTACTTAACACCTTATGTACGGATACATTTAGCGTCGTCAGTTCCATTCGTCGTAAAGGACTGGGATCGAAAAGTCACGTCAGTACATAAATTTTAAATGAACTTGAAGGAAATTTGCAAGGATATAAACACTCAGTCTTAATGTTATTCATGCCGACATTGATGGGAGCAAGTGGCTAATCAAGGTGACCTGTGGGGACAAGAAATGAACTAAACGCGTCCACGCTGAGCCTCACCGTCGGAGATGACATTGATGCTTATCTTCCCTTTATTCTTGTGAGGTTTGTGAGGTGTGGTGCGCCGGGGGAGGGTCTTGGGGGGCCGGCTCTCCCCCCAGCCTCCTCTGGGGCCGTCTCCAATCATCCAATCTACAGCCCTGCAACAAATTACAACAGGAAAAATTACCTTGAATTTTCCGGCTTTGGCACGATAATAAAATACGGGAATATACATTAGAGATTTACACAATTTTTGGAAAAACGTTTTATTAGTTAATTATCGTATAATTTTATCCAAGAATACTATATTCTCTAAAGAAAAAACACTCATCTAATAGATTCGTGCTGAAATTTTCAGAAGGAAACGCGCAGAATATATGATGAAGCCATTTGCATGCAAAGCTCCTACATTAAAAAATTTAAAACCATCACTAATTTCTCACATTTAATTCTAAATCTCGCATTTAGTAAGTTCCGGTCAGAAACTAGGAGCGAATAAAAAATGCCATGGCGCGAACACACGTCAAATCCAAGTGGTCCACAAAGGCAGGCGTTAACTTCAGAAGAAATTGCTTAATTACAGGGCAGAACAATTCATCACGAACGTGGCCAACACAAATTCCTGTCTCATCAGATGAGAAGAGTTTTTGCCGCCTAGTGTCGCTCGGGCAACGGACCCAAATCGTTATGCTATTCCTACGAAAGCGGTCATCATAGGACAGCGGGATCCTGTTAGATGAAGTCATTTGGATATAATTTGTCCGGTCATTTAGTCTTGTTTACAATAACATTCCTGCGGGGCCTGGCCAAAAGGCCTTTTATAATGAGTCTCTTTGAGTTTCCTGGTCTGGCTAATGCGTTTTGGCCGAGCGGCACGAGTTAGTCCAATTATATTGGACGATTTAGACCGACGATTTTTATGTCCATAAAGAATAAGTGGAGTATCAAGCTTCCTAATAAAGTTAAACTTTATATCAACATTCTATAAATCTACTCAGACTGTGTTAGTGGAATTACCATTCGGAATGAAATAAATGAATTCATGGACCACTTGTCTATAATCCTACCTGCTCACTTGCTGTCGAATCACATCTTCCTACCTGTTCGGGAACTACCGTCACCGATAACATGTGGGCGGTGAACGAAACTTTAATTGAATTTCTCCGAAACTATGATCAAAATTAAGAGCCAGCGGCTATACCCTTACCAGTTTCTCACTGTTTACAGACTAATAAATTTCATTTCATTATCTGGGATACAATGCGTTAAAAAATTGGGTTAATTTGTCTGGATGTCCAGTTGAAGGTTAACGAAAATTTTAAATTTACTGAGGTGTAATTTTCTCGACTTTATTGGCTTATCAATGGAATGTAACTAACAAGATCCGAAGCAATATTGTAAAACAATTTACTATCACCGGATAGGAAGGATCCTATGAAGAATAATTGAATTTCACCATAACAAATATCTACGCTTTAGTGATACGTTTACAAAATTAGGAATAAAAGAAGAAATTTTTTTCGTATTCCAAATAACATTTATAGCTGAATTGTGAAACAAATCAGGCATTAGGGTCTTGAGCCATTCTTCGGTATATTGCCAGCCATTTTCATAATCGAAGACTATGATCTCATGGTCGGCCAGGAGCCCCGAAATGTCCATCTTACGATATCGGGTCCTGCATAATAGCTTTATGAGCAAATTTACATAAGACCCGATACTGCGGCTGCGAGGGTCGGCTGGTGCGGGCTCCTGGGCTGGCTGGTCTGTCGCTTAGCACCACCGCCAGTTTTGTATTGGCTAGGCCGTAGCACGTCGGAAATTTATTATTCATTGTTATCGATTCATTTTTTATCATTATTGTTATAATATCACAACGGAATATTATTGTTCATTGCTATCGATTCCCTGTTTATCATATTGTTATAATATCAAGGCGGAAATTTATTGTTTATTACTATCGATTCATTGTTTATCATATTGTTACAATATCAAGGCTGAATATTATTATTCATTGCTATGGTATCATTGTTTATCGTTATTATTATAAAATTACAGCGAAATATTATTGTTCATTGCTATCGATTCAAAGTAACGTGGGTAATATTGATCGTATTAGTTGTATGGCTTGGCAACGTAATTGATAAATTAATAATTTGTTTCTGAACAATTGACCTTGCCAGTGCTAATGCAACTGCCTAAAATTTATTGTTTGGCATGACTATCCTTACAGCTCATGTGAGGCAGCCCTCACTGCTCATGTGAGGCAGCCCTCACTGCTCATGTGAGGCAGCCCTCACTGCTCATGTGAGGCAGAATATAATATAATATAATATAATGATTTTCGTCGACGTGGAAAACGAGGTGGGATGCAAGGCATAGGCTGAACATAGCATTAAATTTCATTCTCAAACTTATAAAGATAGAAAAGGTGTCGAGATTACAAAAATTCCTTTAAATTTTGAATAGCGCAAAAAATAATGTTGTTAAATAAAATTAGTTTATGAGAGGGCGAAAATTTCGTTGATTTTAATGAATAATCTTTTGACCCGTTGTTTCAAGTGCTTAATCTCTAACCGGTAAGGAAGTTGCAATTTTGTCCTGTTCATAACCGACAAACCTAAAGCGTAGCTATATAGGCCACATTTACTATATTTCTATATATTACTAATATTATATATTATAATATATATAAAATATATTCATTATATATATTAAATTACTATATATATACCTATTATAGATATTACTATAGGCCACACTAATAATATATCCTAATAATATTCTCTTTGTACATCGCTCTGACTATACGTCCTGAGATAGACCAAACAGCCTCGCGAATCTCACCAGTTTTGAGGATTCTTTCGCCACATATCACATTTCTTTCATTGTGTTAGGAAGCAATCAGTTCACTGGGATCAATCTCTGGCAATCACGATAAAGCAGCACTCGTGATCGTCAGGGCAATCTTCGAGCTGCCGGCCTGATTGCCTAAAAGTTCTTTTCTCAGTCAGTGACATGGAAACCCAATGAGCCAACGAAATAGATTTCAATTCTTCCGACGCTTTCACGAGGCTCTGCACTGGACTCCGTGCGATAGCCTCTTCCATTGCTTCGTCATCAAAATCGCTTAAAATAAAAGCTAGGGGCAGCATTCTTGCCCACCAGAGATTTGGGGTTAAAATAATGTTTATTAAACTATGTTAACGACGCTTGAAGTTTAAAATTAATACTTGATACTTGAAATTAATAGCGGTGGTCGATTGTTATACGCATTTCAAAATCATTACATTTGTTTTAATGCTTGGTAATTAGCCTGTAAGAACGACGTCCGTAGGAGCATCATAGTGCTTCAATGAAGATCGAGAATCTATTCACTATTGACAAAGCAATTAACTTTTAACTATTAAAAATTGGCTTTAGCTTATTGAGGTTGCTACCATAGCGGAGCTTTCGATTCCATAAAGTCAAAACCAGAGCACTACAGGCAAAAAGACAAAAGTAATAACCTCTTCATGCAGGCAAAGTCAATATGCAGTGACCATTGGCAGCAGTTATCGCTGGCTTCATCTATTGTCCACGGTATAATATTTGCTTTGAAAAGCATTCTATGACCTGGTAAATGCTTCATTAACGTCAGCAGACGTAGGGTTTGAGTCTAATTGTTGTGGTGCTTGTCCGTTGGAACTTTCTGCTTCGCATGTTGTTTAAAACTTCAACATGTACACAGTGGTGGGTATCAAAGTCGAGTCCGCTTGAACTTTATACAACTGAAACGCTCGCAAGTTAAATTCAAAATAATACCTATATTCTCTCAGAAGACGGACTGGCTCAATACTCTCATTTTCAGGGTAACGTGTCAACACTTGTTACTTGCATATGATTTCTCTGAAAAAAAAACAATAATGATTCGTCTTCAGATTTGAATCATCTCTTAACATTATTTCAAGACACATTTAATTCCAAGATGGATTGCAAATTTTTCTAACTAAATTCGAATCCAGTTCTAAATAAGTCGCAATTTGAATATTTCTCTGTCAACAATTTCACGTTCTTTATTCGTTGAAGTTTTACATCTTTCACGCGCTGCAATATTACTGTATTTACTCACTGTAATTCAATAGACTTTTCTACTGTAGTTTCCAGTCTACACTTGCAGCAATTTCAATATTTTTACTCACCAATCCCCAGTATCGGTTCAAAAATCCTCGCGAATTATTATCACGAAGCTCAAATTCACGAATTCTGTCTCACGAGCAGTGAGGCAGTGCAGTGAGGCAGAGCAGTGAGGCAGAGCAGTGATGCAGAGCAGTGAGGCAGAGCAGTGAGGCAGAGCAGTGATGCAGAGCAGTGAGGCAGAGCAGTGAGGCAAAGCAGTGAGGCAGAGCAGTGAGGCAGAGCAGTGAGGCAGAGCAGTGAGAGCAATGAGGCAGAGCAGTGAGGCAGAGCAGTGATGCTACAGCCCCATTACTGAGCTAATGGTGGGGATTAGCTAACCTTACCTCCCCTCCCTCGGTGGGATTTATTGGGGAGCGAATTTATCTCTCTGAGGATTTACAAGAGTGAAGATTTATCCCAGAAAAGATTAACTTAAATGAAGATTTATTACGCAAACATTTAAGAGAGTGGATAGTTATTTAATTTGATATTGAACCTTGAAAGTGTAATGCTGAGGAATTTAGGAATTTAATTCGGGAGGAAGTTTACTTTTGGGAAATATAAGTACCATTTATCCCTAGCTTGACTAACTAATAAAAGGAATTGCTATTCATGGAATTCACACTATAAGAGTTTACATTAAACGGAGAATTATTGTTATTATTATTTATTATTAATGATTAATGAATCAGTTTATCTTCAATCTCGATCTCCTTGCTCGTTTGTTGATTGAATTGGCAATTTAACACATGAACACATGAAGTTAAATTGCAACATCTTATCAGTTTAACTCATAGGTTAAGATTTTGGGAGTCGATTAATAGCTCAGTCACTCACGTGCAAATTTCTGCAATATTTCATGCCGGTGTCACTAGTGGCAATTAACACGGAGAGCGCGAGACATCCACTTGTGAGAATTAATTAAGACTCGCTTGAGAGACGCTACCGAGGCCGGCCACTCACACTGTATGGTCCCGGCCGACCCGGCCACTCACACCGT